ACACACACACACACACACACACACACACACACACACACACACACACAGGCACACACACAAAGAGAGAGAAACAAAGCCAAATCAGTGCTGATTTATGATTATATCCTGATTCTGTGAGACAAGACCATCAGGGCCGTTAGCCCAGTGGGGATCACATTGAGGGCACTCGGGTGTTACACATTATGCCTTCCCCCTATGGTGTTACCCATAATGCCTTCCCACCATGGTCATACACGCATTGCCTTCTCCCTATGCTGGTGCTTTTTAAACCCTCCCACATCGCTTCTCCTCTGCAGGGATCTTCATCGGCCTTAGGGGGCCAAAGAGCTTACAGCAAGCCGTGTTTAGTCCAATCGACAGGGGTGTAGTACTAATCACCAGAAACAGGCTGCTGTGATCACCAGGAGACTAATACGAACATGGACAGAGCAACTAGTGTGTGTGTGAATGTGTGCGTGTGTGTGTGTGTGTGTGTGTTAGAGGAAGAGGGAGAGAGAAAGCCTGTCTTTCATGCCGTCACTTTTATTGAATCTCTGAAGTACAGCAACAGGCAGAGTTACTCATCCAGATAACTGGAAAAAACTGTTTTTCAGTTGACTGCATAATCAGGCTTCATGAAAACCTCTTTTATTTTTCTGCACGTTCTCCTCGTCAAGCACATTTACTAGAAAATGATTCTTAGTGTATGTTTAATCGTGAAGCACCAGACGGTTGGAGTGTACCAAGCAGACACGTTGACAGGGACAGTAAAGTGCAATGAATAGACTTTCCTGTGATTTTACCTGGCACCCATTGTTTTGTCTCCTGTGGAAACCACACACATTTGGCGTGAGTAAGAAAAAAAGAATGAGTGTTTACAAGTGCAATTTAACTTTGATTTATTCATAGCGAAAGCAAATGATAAATGTGGGCCAGGTGTTGAGAGAGAATGACAGTGAAAGGAGGGAAAGAAAGCATAAGAAAGTGATGGAGGGCAGGGAGAGGATGGAGGCGTTTGATGACACAGCAGGAGTTTATCGAGCAAAATGACTTTGCTTATCTATTCAATTAAAATGGATTAAGGGATGCAATGAATGGCAAACTAACCTTGCACCACTGGCCACACAATTTCCTCAACCTGATTTGTTGTCCCTCTTATGCCCTCCAGTCCTCATCTCTGCTCCTCTCCTCCTCCCTCTGCTCCCCTTCCCTTCTCCCGGTACTGATCTCTGCTCCTCTTCCCTTCTCCTCCTCCCTCTGCTCCTCTTCCCTTCTCCCGGTACTGATCTCTGCTCCTCTCCTCTTCTCCTCCATCCTCTCCTCCCCTTCCCTTTTCCCGGTACTGATCTCTGCTCCTCTCCTCCATCCTCTCCTCCCCTTCCCTTCTCCCGGTACTGATCTCTGCTCCTCTCCTCTTCTCCTCCTCCCTCTGCTCCCCTTCCCTTCTCCCGGTACTGATCTCTGCTCCTCTCCCCTCTCCTCTTTATGCCTGTGTCACAGTTAATCTGTTATTCCATAAAACCCATAGTGCTATTACTTTGCATTGCCTCTGAGCTACCTACAAGGCTCGACAATACCTCTGCGCCCGTTCCTCTATTTCATGTAAAGAAGATTAGAAGCGCAGATTGATTTGTCTTTGTCTCCTGCTGTTCCGCGGCGGCCACGGCTATTGGTAACCCATAACGACAGCATTGCCGTGGTAACAGTTAGCAGCGGTGACAGCTGGGATTGTGGGAATCAGAGGTGCCGGCTCCGTGAAAAGCTGGCAGCAGGACAAACGGGCGACACATACTTAAATTGGTGGCACGTGAAGCCTAAGAAGTGTGTTCCTAGTCATCACATATGGAACGTCAACAACAATCAGCAGCACAGCCCCTAGATAGCTTACTGCTTGCATGTTGTGTGCGAGGACACAGGGTGAAGATGTGTCACACCTTTCAACCTCACGCAGGCATACACACACGCAAGGGGTTTTGTTTTTACCTGACGCTTAGCCTCAGGCTAACTGAATTTTAGAGCCTTTCAACCTTCGGCTAATTAAGTTCCTGGCCCTAGGCTAACATTTCCCTCTGGAGCCTTCTAAACTGGGCCAAATATGGCATTAACCTATGGCTCCCTAATATTGTTCTGAGGCAGGGACAAAGCTCATTTTGCAGCAGTATCAACAGTAAGATCCCCAACTGTGAAGATGTACCTTGACAAATACACTAGAGGCTCTACTCTGTTGTTTGAAGATTACGGCAACGGAGAAAACAAAAAGCACTACTCTTGGCAGCAGGGGACAGGGAAAGTGCTTAATAATCCCAGTGTGTGATTGTGCATGCATGTGCTTCGGTAGGTGGGTGGTCCTCCAGTGGTTCCATACTAGCATATGACCAATAATTCAGATGTAGATCCATTACAAAGGGTATTTTTGACACCAGATTATTGGCGGTGACAGGAAAATGATGGATTAGTCATTTTCCAAATCATCCAAAAGCTCTCAGCGTTCCAGATCACGGAACTGAGGAGAGCACACCGGGGGCATCCTCTAAAGGTTACCTGCAGGGTGGGAAAACCCAGAGGCAAGGGATTACCAGCTGTTTTGCTGAAGTGACAAGAAAACAACTTCATGGATGGAAGAGGCTTTTCTCTTGCAGAAATATAGCTTTTTATGTCAAACAATATAAAAAGGTATTTTGAATTAAAGTAGTCATTGATGACTCTGGATATTGTTGCCAGTGGTGAGGATTGACACTGGGATTAAAAATAAACCTTGCATTTACACTCACACACTATTTCACACAGTAATCAGAATGCAAAATTGCATATACAGCATGAAGCTGTGTAAAGAGGGACAGAAGCATGCAATATTATTACAGTATCTGCCATGGATCATTCTCATCTTTCATGCTGATCTCTGTTGAACAGACATTCACAGTTTGCACAGTTCATGGTCTATTGTATAATCAAGCGGGTCTGCTATAAATAAAAAAAAGAAGAAAACATTTCATATCCAAAAACGGTGGGAGGAGGAGAAATTAAGGTAACTGATGACAAAATCAAGTGGTAGAGGCAGACAGTAATATGTGAGGTGTGAAGTAAACAAAATGGATACGTATAAGAGAGAGAGAGAGAGAGAGAGGAGAGTGGGGTTAGGGGTGTGACACAGAGTCGGGGGGCACGTTCCTCTCCCCTTAACCGGTCTGTTGGATAAATGGATATTGACAAGGCAGCTACACAAAATGAATTACTGAACTTTAGTCTGACACAGTGTGTGTGTGTGTGTGTGTGTATGCTTGTGTGATGGTGTAGCTAAAGGGGATGCATGAGCTGACATGTCAAGAGGCTTGGGAGCATGTATGTACTGTGTGTGTTCGAAGAATAGGTGACGGTTTGCAAGTGTGCACCTCAGTATGTGTATGTGTGTGTGTATGTGTCTGGAGCAGCTATAAAGGAGGCTGAAAAGGAATATGCCCAACTGCCTCCGTGGTCAACTGTCATCTGAGCTGAGGCCAGACCTCTCGATGTACATCTGATTAGATACAAGCATACGTGAAGGCACTCAACATCAATTCATGCCCTTAAATATACCAACACATTCTCACAACCAGACACGCATGCACTCTCACACACCAACTTGAAACCTCCAGAGACAGAAAACCAAAGATTGCATTCTTGTTACCTGCATGACCTGATAGCAGTAAGCCGTATTTTCTTGTTTTCTTTATGTTTTCCTCTCCCTCCCTACCACCTCTGTCTCTCCCCCTCTCTGTGCCCCTACAGAGTATCTCTTTAGCGACAAATAGCAGCCATGTTGTGGCTGTGTCTAGCTGCTCAGCGTGTCCCCTGCCATCTGTGTCTATCTGGCGAACTGAAAATAAGAGAGAAGCCTTTCGTCTTCAGTGCTTATAACAAATAGCTACCATCTAAGTTCATAATGCATGTTACTGTAAGTTAGCTGGCCCATCTTACATACAAGCTATGCTGTTTGATTGATCCTCTTACATGTCAATTCAAGAACAAAGAGCTTGTTTCAAAAATAGCATTAAGTAATAGGTTATCAAAACTGATAGAGGCTTTCATTGTTTCATTACTGTCATTTTATGAAAGTAATGAGCTCCCCTTAACCGTTTCTTATAAAAGGGCTTAAGTAAGCAGCTCTAAAATCACAGGAATTGACAGCTTATTGCTTGAAGATATCCAATTAGAAGATTTAATATCCTCAAATATAGGGAGTGCTGTCACCTATTTCATTTCACATTGTCAATTAGGGGCTTAAATGACCTGCCACACAAAATTACCATCGTTTGATTTAATTGTGTGGCAATTACTATTTTGTAAGAGTAGCTGTCAATTGTATTAATGACATCTCTAGCTTTGTCATGAAAAGCATTGGTAGATAAACAATGAAAATAAATATATATGACATTAAGTGGGTGCCTACACGAGACAAGACACACCTGTGAAACTCAAACCAGAGGGAGCAGTGGCACTGCTGAACAAAACTACGACATGTGACCCCTAAAAGGTAAAGTGCTCCCAGGTACAGAGGATCTCCTTGTCCTTTTAGGAAACATCAACTGTGCGGTCTGCCAAGTTTTGGCAAAAGAATATCTAAATGCATTAACTGTCCTCTTATTATTTTTAATATTCTGTGACATCTGCTGTGATATGAATCCCTGGGTAATAGAGCTGCCAATGACATGCATATTCAACTACTGCTGTCAAAGGTTATTTTTAAAACATGCAATCTTACAGATTTGAACACCCATACACACACACACACACGCACACGCACACACACACACACACACACACACACACACACACACCCACACGACAGTACTTTTATAACGTGAGCTTTGTGAGAATTACAGTAACCATTGCTAGAAGGCTGCGTGACATCCCTTTTTAACTGACACAGCTAATGTGTCATGCATTTAACACTGTGTTCAAAATGTGTTTTTTTTAATGAATAACAATAGGACATTTGAGGTACATTAGATGTGAAATATTGCAATGGCATTTTTCCGTAGCGAAATCACTACTCCGCTCTGCACCCAAAAAGTAATCAATCAATTTTGATTACTTTACAAAAATAGCCATATTTGCAAGAAGAAGAATCGTTTTCAACCAGAACTGTACCCTTGCCTATCAGCTGATTGGAATGATGCCTGCGCCAATAGAGACAAGCGATGGAAATTCCTTGCCGGAGCTACATTAAATATAACTGTGTGTGCACTTCATGTGAAGTAAACAATAAAAAAAAATCATCAATCTAAAAAGAACCAATTAACAGCAGCAATGTGTCTTTGGTTTTGTAATGTGTGGAGTCTTAATAAAGCCCAAGCTTTTTCAGGGTGTTTTTGCCCGGCCACATTCTAACTCACTGCAGCCTTGTGTTTCAATGTATTTGAAATGCATTTTTAGATTAATCTATTTAACAAAAAATGGAAAAAGCAATCTATATATTCAACATGTTTCCAAGTGCCAACAAGTGTTACCAATATTGGGAAAAAGGGGAGGCTCTACATGCTTGAAGGAAAGAATCATGAAGTATTTCCATTTAGAAACTACCTCTTACATCTTATCCTCTCCTCCCTCCAAACGTTTCCATTTTACATGCGTAAACAGTCTGCATTTCAGGAAAAGTTTCACTTCATTTTTGTTACAAGACTGCTGGTTTCTTAGAAGAGTCATTCAGGGCTGCTCAGTTGCACAGAATTTAATGTTGTTTACAAAATCAGGTTAGTACAAAGTATTTATTTTTGGCGCAATTTTAAACGAGACATGTAGAATAAAGTGATTTTGAAATTCATTATTCCTGAAGGAAGTGTTTGTCACACCTGATTTGTTCAATGACTGTTGGAAATTTGAAAATCCAGCAATAGATTGTGTTTTTGCAAGCTTCAAGCTATAATAAAGAGTGCATTTTAGATGATTTTTCAAAGAAAACATTCCTTTCAAACCTGCCGGGGGGTTGTGGGGTTGAGATGGTTGTCAATGAAATGTCTGTCTAGTCTCTACATTAAATTCAAACAGCGAGGGCCAGGACTGAGAAGTCGATGGGTGGATGAGGAAAAGAAAGAATTATTACTGAATTATCACAGAACTGCATCAAGTCAAGTCCTACTTCTACTTTGATATCTCTGCCTCACAGAATAAATAATACATCATTTCTTTGCCCTGCTCGTAGAAACAAGAGTCAAAGTCAAAGTCAACAATGTTTATGTCGCACTTAATGTCCCTGTTTTGTAGCCTTTGTAACAGAACAAAACCGTTTACTCTTCAAACCTGAAACTTGTTGACAAGACGAGAATAAGCTCCATCACAACCCTGGTGAAGATCCACCAAGATACATAAGAGGTTCACAAGTTAAGTAAGCATCAACAGCCCATTCACACACTCTCTTATGAAGGTCATGACATCTTTATTTTGCTCTGAAAATTTCTTTTAAATCTTCTTTGGTTGAAATTGAATGAATACTGCAAGACATAAAGAAGATCTAAGAATAAAAGACGTAAATGAGACTCAAGGTGTTCCAACATGTGCTCCATCATTAATGTGATGGCTCTACAGTTCATACACAAATCTGCATCACAGCCTCTTCAGTTGATCAAACGTAATACGATTAAAGGCGCTGAGTTTTTCAACAGCAAAAATAAAGTGGAGGATGCAGAAGAATGGTTTTCAAGAATAATGTCAATCCTAAACTCTATGAAGAGATGCACTATTATAATGGAGACAATACAAAAGCAAACACTATTGGTAACAGCAAAGGATTCATTGCTTTGTTCCCTGGGTAACAGGGTTTTGAAATAAATAATACACTTATTAATCATAACAAAACAAATTCATTACTCTCATCACAGTATAAAAAAAACATCTCGCTTCATTCCAACAATGGGATCTTTACCCAAACTAATATCCCGTATCTGGCTTAGTGATCGTCAGTCAAGTTTATTTTTCATTAAAAACGATTTAAGAAATACGGCCCGAGGGCACATTTCTGTGTGTGTCTCACTGCATTAGAGTGTGCATGCTGCATTTTGTCATTGTATACACACATGGCAATGTGTGAAAGCCTGCTTATATATTTGATGTTAATGCGAAGCATACATTTTGGCTGGTTGATATCACTTACAGATTTAATTTGTATAAATAGTGTTTAGCGACACCTTGGGCCCAGAACGAGACAGGCAAACATACAGATGAAGACAGGGCAAAGCATCCACTGTCAATACACATGTTGCTATTTTCTCCATTGTTGGATACCTCCATTAGGCAATAATTACACCCATTACAAAAGACACGTACACTTAGGTTTCTTTCAGAGCTACGTGGATGAGGGGGTGGGAGTGGAATGAGATGTTTTGCATGTAAGTGTGATTTTTTTATCTATATATGTGTGTATCCTTTTTTACAAGGGTGGGTTGGTGTGAATGGATATAGCTGCGTCTTTGTGTTTAATTGCCTAATTTGCAGAAAGTAAAAAAATAAAAAGGTCAATTCCTTAGCCTTTAAGGTGCTGGTAAATTGATTCTGAAGGTGCCGTAGACCGAGGTCTCAAATAGAAATTGAGGTGTGTGAGTTGAGGGGCAGTTGAAGAAAGAGAAAACAAAAAGAGATTGTGTATCCATGGATTTGGATTTGAGTGCATCTGCATGTCTCGCTGCCAGTGTTTTAGAGCTTCCCTCCAAAATTGCTTTTGAGAGACAAATTTGAGACTTTGGGGCTAATTGAACTTTACTGCCACTATAGATACTACTCAATAAAAGGCACAGCTTAGGGACAGAGATTGCAGCAAGCTTTATCATGCCAACCATCAGTGTGAAACTGGTTAGTTAAAGCAGTATTTCTTGAAAGCCACTGCAGGAAAATGCAAAACAGCCTGAGCTGTTACAACTACAACTCAGAAGAAGGTATTCACTTTTTTATGGCTTTTTTCATCAAAGTTACAATCATTCCCTTCACCACTACACTGATCTGAATCAAACACAACACACACACACACACACACACACACACACAGATACAAACCTCAGCTTTGATCTTGTTGTCTCCGAAGCAGAGATGCTGTAGGTAGGCTGCGGCATTGGATTGCACCGATGGGAACTGGTGCTGTAACATCTGGATAACCTCTGGCAGCTCCGGATCTCTCCACCCGAACTCTCTGCAGAGAGACAGACAGACAGACACTTTGATTCCTGCAGCACTTTAACAAAGCATCTCACCAAAACACGGGAGATTACCTGAAAGTAGTCCAATAAAATCACAGACTCCTTTCCCCAACATGCCCAGAGCTACACATATTCACACGCTCACTTACACGGTTACATAGTGTACAGAGAGAGACAGACGTATAGATGAAAAGGAAAATGAAGGAGAGAGAGATTGAAATGGAAAAATCCACTTTGTTTCATTTTCAACCAAAGAGCTCTCCTCTTATGAGAGAGAGCTTTACGAGATAAGCATATATTGGGATAAAAACAATACAAATCATACACTGGATGCCCAATTTGGCAAAACATTGTCATTTCCACCCACCACAGGCAGCGTAATGAGAGCAAGCGGACATGACGACAGCATCCACGAACACTTTTACAAATATTATATATTTGTATTTACACACAACTCAAGGGGAATTTGAAACAACACAGTGAGTCTTTTAAAGTCTTTCCACTCTATGGCCAGGTGATTTGATATATAGTGAGTTCATAAAAGCTTTATATTGGGTTTTGTAAGTACGATACGCCAAGTAGCCAAGTGTCACATACAAAAGCTCCAAGGAAAAAAATAACACACCACAATATTGTCTGCATAGTTTGGCTGGCATGTGATTTTATGTGAACTGCAAATTGCAGGGAAGACTACAGAATGTTTTGAATCATGGTGCTTGGCAAACAACAATATCCTATAGATTACCATGCTGAAGAGCAACCTGAAAGCCACCTAAATGACCTTGATGTAGTGAAACACATTGCAAGCAAGTTAATACATATTAAGTGTTGAGCCCACACAAGTCCCAAAATGGTTTTGAGTAAACTTAGAAAATGATGTAAAAAGTTTTGAAGAATTGCACAGCGCAGCATTACTGCTGCCTGCATGCTGTCTGCAGTGTGAGTGGTGTGAGTTATGTTCTATACTTTCCACCATTACACTCCTATGAGCACACTGGACAAAGTGAAATAAATGTTTTGTCCTTTGGTAATACCCAGGAAATGGTCTACTTTATTGTATTATCCCCTGCTGATAATTGTTTTGCTACGGTCCCCCAAATGAGAAAATTATGACTGTGCGAGAAAGTGTGGGCGACTGTGTGTACACGTGTGCAAGAGTGTGTCTCCGCAATCTACTGTAATATTTTCTCCAATAACCACTCTGTGAGCTGTTTCTCTGTTACTTCCTCACTCTCTTTCCCTCTCTCTACCTCTTTATCTCAATGCTTTCAGAAAACTGTCGACTCTCAACATGATCCGAAGGAAAACCTACGTTGAAATTTTGCCGCTCCCATTGATTGTGGTGCTTGAGGATCGATTTTGTTGTTTCTGCAGTCATGCTCGCTGTTCTGTGCCACAATGCGGCTCAATGTAATCACCCATGGAGCTATCGTGGAAGACGTTGATTCATTTTGCCTCCTAACTCAGCCTCCCTAAACATGAAAATGTGGTAAATACAGGACAATTGCAGAGTTCAAATTGATGGGGTGGGGGGATTGCGAGTGCGCCTGAAGTTTTTGCGGCAGAAAAGGAAGCCTCGACACCGCACTCTCATCTCTGTCAGATGAAGTAAATGCGGCCTATGAAACATCTGTGAAAAGCAAAGTGTTCACGGGGAGTAAACGTGGCCCTTAAAGATAACGCAAGCTCCAGCGTGGACGGCTCTTTATCTGCCGAATGATAAGTGTTCATTCAGCCAGAAAGCAGGACTGAAGGAGGGAGGTAGAAGAGAGATAGAGAGAGGGAGGAAGAGGGAGGGATTCCCAAGGCATTTAGGGGATTTAGGAGGAGAGACCCTCAAACACCCCCCCTTAAATCACACAGCCAGATACCATCCGGCCAGTTTGTTTGTTTATGTGTGTGTGCGTGTGTGAGAGAGTGTGTGTGTGTGAGTGTGTGGTAAGATTAAGATAGGATCATGATGTGTGTTTATGTGGACACAATTGCCTCAGTGCTGTTCATCTCTGTGTGAGTTTGTGTCCATCAGTGTGTGTGTGTGTGTGTGTGTGTGTGTGCGTGTGCACAAGTGTTTTCATATTCATCCTTGTCTGCGCTTCAAAGTACATATGTATCTGATTTTACTGTGCGTGTGTGTGTGTGTGTGTGTGTGTCATCCATCCCCTGCAGCCTCCCAGCTCTGTCAGTGTAGTTAATAGAAAGCAGAGTGATCTGCTGATAAGATAAGCATCATGGCTCGCCATTAATTAAAAAACCCTGGTAGGGAGAGAGAGAGACGGTGTGAGAGGAACAGAGCAGGGGAGAGAAAGAGGGAGACGGAGTGAAAGACAGAGGGAGAATGACAATGAGGATGCAGAATTGAGGGGAAAAAACAGAGTGTTCGAAGGCAACTGTGGGTACAACGGGCAAGAGGAAGCCGGTAGGAGATGGAAAAATAAAAAAAAGGCATAGAGAAAGACGAAAACAACCCTCGGATGAGATGCCAGTCATGTCAACGCGGGTGCTAATGAGAGTTACAGCCCTGGTAGACGCACCTAGGCGACAAGTCAATGACGTGAAACAGTGGGATGCAAACAGTGAAGGATATATCCTGCACAAGGGACAAGTGATCAAAGAGGCACTGCCAAGCAACTGCAGGGCTCACACTAAATACCCACCCAACTTCTGAGGAATCCGTCACACAATATGCGGCCACTTGTGTGCCATATTCTTTATGACACTTTAATATTTTATGCCTTGTGTGGTAATACATGCCACACAGAAGAATTTGTTGACTTGCCTTTTTTAAACTTGAGCTACATGTTCCTGATACGACACACCGGTGGGTACGAGAATAAATTAGGTGGCACTGTTGCCGCACCGAGCTCCGTGTTCCTGGTTGGACAGGTTGCTTTGCCATTTCTCGAGGCATGCGTAGGCGTGATGCAGCGAAATATTTCGAATGGAAACACTAGGTATGGCAGGAGAGCAGTCAGACATACTGAGAATAAAGGCAGGTGGCAAGGGGGGTTTGTGGAGGAGGGAGGGTGGAGGCAGAGTGATATAACTGGGACAGAGGAAAAGACTGGTGTGTGATGGTGAGGCTTTGATGCAGGCGCACACACACACACACACATTGGCATGGGAGGTAGACAAAATGTGACAGAAGAGTGCAACGCATGAAAATGTAAGGATTATCAAAGGATTTCTTTTTTTTCATAAAACTCCTTTTTCATATCTCTCTCTTTTCATGTCCAGGTCTCATGGGACAGCTCAACCTCTATCTGAAATCCCAACATGCCCACTGATACATGTACACATACACAGGGAAAAGCAAAGCTCATTTACTCTTAAAAAACACTAATTGGATACACACACACAAACACACACACACACACACACACACACACACACACACACACAGAGTGGTGATGTTTGCTTTCGATGATTTGAATTCCTCTGTAGAGGAAAGCTGAAGTTGGAGGGAGACATAAGTGAAAGCATTACATCTTCCCTCTGTTGCACCATTCATTGTCATGTTCCCGTATCCCTGAACTCTAACAAATGAAATGGAAAAGTGTGGAAAGATGACTTATGTAACAGAGAATGTGTTAAATAATGACAAAGCCCAAACAAATGATGAGTGCCATTGGGTTATGGAGTTTAGTAACTGGTGTCCATGAAGAGTCAAACTGCACATAAAGGCAGCTGGTATTAAAACATAATGGGGAGATGTGTGAAATTTGAGTGTGCCGTAAACAGCTTCACCGCTTTTCCTGTTGTCTGCAATACTGCAGTGCCTTCGCCATGACACCGGTTACCGCAGCTGTTGCAAGATAAACCAGGACTGAAAGCTTATTTTGGTTTTAATAAGATCATCAGTAAGATATGACATCAAATCATAATGATTCAAACAACAACCTGTTCTAGTAACAACCTTTGCAAATTCAAAAATGTATAACTGTAATGCTGCATTTATTTGATGTAATTCACTATCTTCACAACAGCGTAATATGCGGTACATGATCGAAAACACAAGGGAACGTGATTTGTGTCTCCTAGCCCAAATCACATCCATCAGCAGGGACCACAATGCATCTGGAGTGACAGCTCCACACAGGAAGCATGTCCCGCTGGCCTTAATCTGATTGGACAAGGCCTGTCATGTCTGGTAACTGATTGGATGGTCAGCAATGGACGGACTGGCAGTGTGCATACCAAAGCAGATGCGAATTAGGACTTGAACATCAATCTTCATCACTGTGTTGGGATGGAGGGGGGCACAGAGAGAGAGAGAGAGAGAGAGAGAGAGAGAGAGAGAGAGAGAGAGAGGGCAAGTGTGGGAGGGAGAGAGGGAGAAAATAGTGCGAAAAAAGCAGGAAAAACACAAGAAAGAGAAAATGCAATTTAAGTAATTTACTGCATTGGTGATCAAATTCTCGTGCTACTCGAGAGGAGCTGAATACGAGTTTGATTAGGACAGAGTAGCAAATGACACACTTTTCAAATATTGCCTATTAAATCATTTTAGCAGTCCACGCTCACCTTTTTCCTAAGCCTCCTCTTTCTTTTTTTATCTCTCACTATGTGCATCCTCTCTTTTCCTCCTACTACACATTTTCGACCGTATCTTTTTGTATTTCCTCCCTATGGATGCCAATAATCTAAGGGAATTGCAAATGAATGTGTTCATGCGTCCACAGTATGTGTTAGTGTGGTTTGGATGAAAGTACATCTTGGACTTCTTCAAACAGGACTGTATGCTGGGTGTGCTTCTCTTTTCATATGTGTATGCATGTGTATGTGTGTGTGTGTGTGTGTGTGTGTGTGTGTGTGTGTGTGAATCCCTCAGTATGCATCTTCAGGTGGAGTGCTTTAGTCAAGGTAACGTCAATACAAAGAAGAGACTTCAGCAATTTCACCAATAAACAGCAGCCAGAATAAGGTACAGGTGAAGATGCACAAGCATCGACTCAAAGTGCAGTGCCGGGTCTCTTTAATTAAAACTTAATTAAGA